TCGTGTAACTTAATAGTTATAGTTAACCCTTAGCTTTTCCGGTATGGATAAAATAGTGGGGCATGTGATCTAGGTAACTAGGTTGCCACAGCGGCGGCCGCAGAAGTGATGAGGTAACTAAGGGAAGGCACGTGCAGTTAAACAGCTGAGTTGTTTCACTAAAATAGTATTGCACTAATTGTGGCCTCGCGGCCAGACAAGGGGGGGAGGGAGAGATCGCTGTTCCGTTCGTTCCTGCAGTTCCTGCAGCTCCGCCCAAACCCAGCGGCGGGTGACGATCACAGCGCTCAACCCCTCCACCTCCCACCGTTTATCGTTTATTTAAGCCCCTACAACAACGAACAAGCCGACCGGCCAAACAACAACAATCGCAAACCTACAGAATATATGAGCTTCTGATGTATAGCTCCATGTATCATCTCCGCAGCAGCTATCCTACCATCTAGGCGAGTAATTACTTTTCTTCCACGTACAACGAACCCGACTCGGTGCCGGTGCTGATGACTTCACCTTGTTTTTTATATTTCTAAACTTCTCATAGGTGCTAACAGATATTCATTTGATAGGTAAATATTGGTACATAATTGCTGCAATTCCTCGCCTTCTCTCGATCTAACCCCCCTACGCTCATTCTCGCGACTGTCCCGCGGGCCGGCACCTTCTCCGCTCCGCCCTAACCTCACCTTCCCGGTTGCAATTCCTATAACGACTCATTAACGAGGATCGATAGTTTTTAAGGCTGATAAACCTCGACGCCGCCTCCCCGTTGGACCATTCCTGCTATTCCTAAGTGCTGTAGAAAACAGGACCCGCCAATACTCACTCCCCTATTGCTGGTATATTCAGTTGCCCCGATACAGTGCCCACATGAGGTCTTGAAAAGGCACGGGTTTTAGAGCGCCCGGCCGCGCTCCAGGCACTATAACGGATACCATTTCCTGGGAATATTCAGATTCATTGTCTGGTTATATACCAATCCGATGGCATCAACAGTTGATGGAAACGTCCTCGCGCAACCAGAATTCGAAATTCCTCTGAACTTGGCTGCGCCTGCCGCTACAGCGGCTGAGGGGGATTATCCTGTAGATGGCGACACTTACCGGATAGCTGCGAAAGCAGCTACGAATTTCAATACCCAACCGCGGCAACAAAAACCGAAGAATGTCTGCGGTGGAGACAGCACGAGTTCTGGTCCGGGTAACGCTGCGACAAGGGCTGCGAATGCCTCAGGCCAGATGAATACGCAAAAACCCAAACGTGTACGGACGGGATGTCTGACGTGTAGAGAACGACATCTCAAATGCGATGAGACGCTTCCTCGATGTCAAAACTGCCAAAAGTCGGACCGACAGTGTAAGCGTGGCGTGCGACTGAACTTTATTGACACTCATGTCGCAGCACCACCATTTGCAGCGCCATTCACGCATGACTGGCAGGTTAACTTTCACGACGAATCTCGTGAGATTGCTTCGGAATATCGGGGGGGTTTTGAGCGGTATCCCCGCCTAAGGAAAGATGGCCCCTCTGCCTCTCGAAAACCAGTGCCTCACCCGTCCGCCTACAATTTCCCTGATATCATGGGAGCACCATCCCTTTCGCATCAGAGCCTTTCGCATGCTGCTCCTCTGCTTCCTAACTATCCCGAGTCGCAACAACCGGAAATGACTGAGCCCATTTTCCAACATACCCCTCAAACAGACCACCACTCTAACCCAACATTTTCTAACCACCCTCTAACACATTCTCCATTCAATTCTCTGAAATCTAATCTAGGACCTCCCGGAAATGTCAAACACTGTCTGGAGAGTGCAGAGGAAGTTCTACTCATGCAAGTTTTCGTAGAGGAAGTTGGGCTATGGATGGACTCGATGGACTCGAAAAAACATGTAAACATCTCCCCCTCCCTGTCATTCGCCACCACAACGCTGATTAAGACGTCGCTAATATATCTACCTAGTTTTCTCATATCCTACCATACCATGCTCTTAACGAACCTATGCTTTTGAATGCGTTTATGGCATGCGGCGCACGGCACCTGTTTTTGGTTAATCCATCATACGGCGAAGACAAGGCTCTGTATTATTACAACACTTCTACGCGTGATCTCCTTACCTGTTTGCAAAACCCCAATCGCGATACAGTCTTATGTGCCACGACAGCGGTAATTCTTAACGTTTACGAAATAATGTGTGAAAAGGCGATGCAGCGGATGAACCATATCGCGGGCGCCCGGGCCCTCATTAAGGAGTGCCGCTGGGATGCCAAAAGTGTTGGGATAGGAAGCGCTTGCTTCTGGCTTAATGTTGGCATGGAGTTATTGAGCTGTCTCCATTTCAACTGGAGAATGGCCTGGGATCCGGATACCTGGGATATAGATATGAACATGACCGCGTCGCAGAATGCTATCACGGGCGATGAAGAGCTGTGGACCCATCGGATGGTGTACATATGTGCGAAAATCGCCAATTTTAGATCAACGATTCCGCATTTCCAGGACCCAGATCGAGCCGCGCATGATTTGCGACTGAACCAGCGGATCCAGGAATGGAATACGTATAGGGGGTGGTGTGACGAGTGGGCGAGATGCGTACCGCGCTCAATGATGCCGCTTGGTTACTTACAGCCTTGGCAGACAAGCTCCAAGTCGTCGTTCCCGGAGGTTTGGTTAGTTTATAAAACCGTCTACGACTCGCGTGCATTAGCCAATTCTGTTGAATTACGTCTTTTTATACTGACTATTCCCTCCCTTTCCAGGCTTATTAAACGCACTGCCGTCGTAGGTCGGCTGTTTTACCACACAGCCTGCTGTCTGCTTGCGAAAATCCACCCCACGGAATCCGAGTACAGCGAGAATATGATGGCGATGCAGCAGAGCCACGCGCATGATATTTGCGGAATCGTGGCGCATGTGAAAGACAGGTACGCTTACACTTCGGATTCTTTACTTTAATCGATCCAATATATATATATCTACGACAACAGTCCACTTACTTCAAAACAATAACAGAGGCGTCGCCAGCGTTTCCCTCCGCTGCCTTGCCATTGCCGCAGAATGCTTGACAAACCGACAAGCACAGGAAGAAGTCCTACAAATCATCGACAAAATCATCAAAGAGACGGGTTGGCAGGTGGCCTTCTTGCGCACTGAACTTATGGAGAAGTGGGGATGGAGTCATAATAACAATAATAACAATAACAACAACGCCAACAATCATAATAATAATCATAATAACTCCTCCCCGCGACAGCTGCAAGCTTCCGCTTCCACAGCACCAGGCTCGTCCGCGCCATCATTACTCTCGTCATCACTTCTGAAATCCGGCCCGCATAATCCCAACGCAAGTGGAGGGCGCGGTCCAACTACCACTCCGCCCCGCCAACGGATGCCACAGGGCATCGTGAACCCTCTTATGGCTACTGCGGATTTTTCATACGAGAACCATCCGTACCAGAGCCACTACGTTGCGCCCCATGATCACAATCATCTGGGGGGTTATCAGCATTACGAATCTTACTGATATATATATATATATATATGATATATATAATATTTTTATTGTTTCCATTTTGGCTTCTTTTGCCCATCGTGATATTCTTTTGGCATTTTCTGTGATTACTATTATTTACGGCTATTGTCATTGGGGTTTCGTGCAAAAAATGTGGATTTGAGATACCAAATACCAATTGATTTGTTTTTCTTTTACGTTCTCTTACCTTTATTTTTTGTTCAGAATCGGCGAATGATTCCGTTTTCTCCATGTGGGGATTTGGAAGTGTTCATTTGATTGTGTATTATCAGTATTTCACCATTCTTATTATTAAAGAGAGATTTGCTTTTTGGATGGTATAATGTATATACAGCTTACACACGCTCTTCTCTATCATATTCCAAGTTAACTTTTCTCATTTCTTCAAATCTTCATATAGTATCAAAGTGTACACGATCTTGGATATTTCACATGCCATATCATCATCATATCATACGTTTGTACGTTTTCTTGTGTCATTTAGATATAGCATTTGTACTAAAACACTTAGCAATCTCAGCAGATACCAATGTCCCTCAGCCATCGCCCTCCATTCCCAAAATAAAATTGTTCACTAACTATGAATATTATTGCATAACTTCATGCAGACATATATGCATAAACACCTTCCCTGCTCTTTGCATCCTTTGATTTGATGACTGATTGAACATTAGTTCGTTTCCTTTGCCTCCCAAGCCCTCTAAGAATAGCAAAGTATCCATTACCTTGATGTCCAAACGTATAGAAATTACTGCTTTTCATTTTTCCCGAGTAGCGAGTTAGCCGCCGCAAATTGTGGGACGAACGATCTACGATTGGCGCTTTTCCCCCCCTAATAAAGAATAAAAAGGGCGCCTATTTCTCTTCGCCAAACCTCGTGAGGGTTAAGTTACCCCGCTATGTTGGACGTTGGGCATTTGCGCGAGGAAGAATCCGGCTCTGTCTCTCTCTCTCTCTCTCCCTCCTCTCCTCCCCTCCCCCTCTCCTCTCCCCTACCGCATCACATCTTCCCCCGCCGTACCTCTTGTGTATGATGAATCGGAAGAACCCAGGAAAGAAGGACAAATTAAAAATCGAAATATGGATGTAAACCTCTCCCCTTCATCTTTCCAAAGGACCCGTTGTCGATGAACTATTGAATATCTCCGGCACGACCGCCCCAAAATCCTCAAATTCCCCCAATTTCTTTTTTCTCTCTCTTGCTTCAAAGAATAGCTTTTTCTTTTTCTCTTTCTTTCTATTATTATTATTTTTCTTCTTTTTATAAAAAAAAAAAACAACGTTGGACGAGTCTGAATCCATAAGAGGGAAAGCAAATTCATTCAATTCATTGGTTCATTTCGTTTCGTTCATTGCCATTTGGTTTTAAAATAAAATTTATTCTTTTCACATCTATAACCATCCGAAAAAAGAAGATAACCACAAGAGGGAACCGAAAAAGGGAATTTAAAAATAACGGGGGGAGAAAAGAGAATGACCACTCCCGCCGACCCGCTCATTCTAGAACCATACTCCCTCTACATCCTCCTCTTCGGCCGCGGCGAAACGTACCGATTTCACTGGGGCTTATTCCTCACCGCTGGCTATCAGACGGCAACAACCGCAGAAACAGCAGAAACGACACCGTCAACAACAGGCACAGCTACCACTACAATTACAATAGAAGGTCCACAAGAAGCCAACGCAGGAGAACCACCAACAACAAACCCCACCGGCACCCTCTTCGAACTCACAAACCCAAACCCTTCCAATGACAAGCTCTGGGCCTACAAAACCACCCTCCTAACCTCCTTCACACACAGACACAACCCGCTCTGCGCCCTGAAAATCTCCAACATAGAACCGCTGCTCCAGCTGGACTTCCATGCCCTCCTGCCCACGATCCCTATCGTCCCCTATTCCCAGCGCTTTGGCGAGGAGATCTCGTGCCGCGTGTGGCTGAAGGAGGCGCTGTATGAACTAGACCAGAGCGGGTTTATACAGCTTGTCCGCCCCGTCGAGGATATTGAGATGGAGGCTCAGCATCTGGGGATGATGTGCTGGTATGTTAGGGTTGGGAGGGGGGAAGGGAGGGGAAATTTGGTGGTTGACAGGGTGGCAAGGAGTAACGGATGCATATTCTGAGGGTGGGAGCAAAGCTTGTATAGGATGGTGGGGATGGGAATGATGAGGATAGAATGTAGGACAGCAGAGGAGGGTAGTAGTGAGTAAGTGAGTGGGTTTTGTTGACTTGGTTTTGCTTGTTGATTGCTTCGGGATATATTAGGCTGCGGCCTTCACGCCTCTTTGGAGGAAATCATATGAAAATACTTGATATTGTGTTTGATGGGTGTGATTTTTTAGCCTTCTTTTTTTTTTTTTTTTTTTTTTTTTTTTTTTTTTTTCTTCTTTTGGAGGGGGTGGGCGGGGGTTCATGTTGTGAGTTCTGATCATATTTGCCGAAATAGAGGAGGGTCGAGGCCTGGAGAAAGTTACCACGAAAGAAGAGCAACCATAGAAAAAAAGATGTAAATAGCAAAATAATGAAACAATGCCTCACTACCTCACGCCCAATCCCAGAAGTAAGAAATGATATCCCTTGCCTTTATCGATTTGATAAGAACGAAGATATTGAGACTATAGAAGGAAAGTGTTGTGTAGCATGCAGATGAGATGACAACCTTGAAGCAAGCCGTAGCCCCTAATCTTTCCGTAAACGCTCAGTATATTTTGTATTCCTCCTTTTGGAACAGGAGGGGGTGGGGGGGAAATGAAAAATGAAGACATGTTGAAACAGGGAAAACCCCACAGTTGTCAAATTTTGTTGTATCATTAAAAAGGGTCGTCCCAAAAATTACATTTGCATCTCAGTGTCATTATCCTTTTCTTGGTCATCGCCATCTCCCAGCGCACCCCCGGGTATCCTCCCCTCATTCAACTCTCGTTCCAATTTCGTGATTTCCTGTAAACTCTTCGCTTCCCGGATCATTTTCTCCACTCGTTTCCGTTCCTTCTCCGTGAGTTTAACACGAATTGGCCTTTCACCGGCTTGTTGTGACGATGCGTCACGTGTCGTGGTTCCGAACGTAGATGCTGAGACGTCAAAAGTGCGGGATTTTATGCCCATGATCTTGGAGGTGAGTGGTGTGGGGTTTGAAGGGGTGCCGAAAAGCTCAGCGGCGCGGTGTCGTTCTACGTCCTTGACTCTTTGGTAATCGAGGAAGCGTACTGTGGGTAATAAGAAGATTACCCAGAGGCGGTAGTGCTATATTTTTTCCTCGCGGGAATTTAAGATGTGGATATTAGCTAAAAATAATAAACAGAATTCAGGCATATACAAGGACTCTCTGAAACAAAGACTCAGGAGCAACACGAATCTCTTTCCCTTCCACCAACCACAACCAAGATAAGAGGGTATTGTATAGAAGGCAACTAACCTCCTTCCTCGTCACAGGATTCTCCAACAATGATACATGTGTCAATTTCGTCAAAACCTTTAATGGCTCCAGATCCGCAAGCTCTGCGATGTTATTCGCAGTAAGGATTAGAGTGGTTAGATTTGGGATCGACGATGCTATTGACGGGTGGATTTGCGAGACACGATTGCGGGCGAGAAGCAAGGTTCGGAGGCGCGGGGAGAAAGGGAAATTGGAGATCGAGGAGATGTCGTTGTCGGTGAAATCGATGGCGTCATGGTCCTGCACCTAAGATTAGATTGGAAATGCAACTTTTGACGGAATGCAGAAGAGAAAAGAACTGAACAATCGAGGGAAACATCATGGTTTCGTTGTTACGCATCCGTAGACATGATTGACCTCACTTACCTTCGCAGCACCCATGTTCTCAATAGCGGGAATTTTATGGCCTAATATATACACCCCATTCCAAAGAAAGGAAGCAAATACGATATCAATTGAGCTCATTACCAAGTGTGTGACACGTGCAGCAGTAGTAGTATCTGTTCTTTTCAATACGCACCTCGAAGATCGAGCTCTCGCTCTTTGAGAGGGTTGAGGTAGGAGAGGGAGTTCTGGATCAACTCTACTGTGAGTCGCATTATTGGAAATATAAGATAGGATATTTATTTGAAAACTGCTTTCGGGGAGAAGAGGGGGGGAGTAAGGCGACGGTATTTCCCTAGGTGTGATTATCAGAAGGGGGATTGGGTGGGTGTTGGAGGTTTGCGATCGTTTGAGAATGGTCTGTCTTGGTTGAATTGGAGGAGTTAATGCTGAAGAGCTGGCGCGCGAAGTTCAAAATTTCCCTTTTTAGAAATTTGGGGCTGGCCCCGAGCTTGTGCTATCCCTATCACGTGATGTATATCCTTTTTGGACCCATACGCCTGGATATTTTGGAGATGAGATGTTACTGTAATACATTCCATTTAGAGATAGGTCTACTAATTACAACAGTTGTGAGTTCTTCCCAGGCGTATTCGTCCCATATATGCTCAAGTCCCAAGTTCAATTGACGGGGAGTTCGCAGCGAATACAATAATACAGATTAGAAGAAGCAGAAGAAAATTTTACGAATGTATGTATATTATATGAATACAAGGGCTAAGAATGGGCCAAAAACTAACAGTGTACGTATACACGTGGAGTTTTGAATAAATAAGAAAAAGAAATTCAAGAAGGGGCCTTTGGAAAGGAAAAAGACAAAGACGGATTGACTGGATGGGTGAGCGGAGGATTTAACTCCTATCAAGTCCAGTCCGGATCAGTAGCCCCTGAGCCTACAGGTAGCACAACACCTGCTGAAAATATATAGTTACATGCGAAATTCACGTCCGTCAAAAAAACCTGTGGCTAGGAAAACCGGACATGCACGCTCCAAAAAAAAAAAAAAAAAAAAAAAAAAAAAAAAAAAAAAAGGTACAAAGCAAATGAGGATGGTGGGACCGTGTTATAATCCCAACAATCAACGTCGCACATGTGTATTACAGTGATTTTAGGAAGCGAATCAGAGGGAAAAAAAGGATAACGGGACCTCTCCTCCAAAAGGTTGGTCACACCAAAATAACACAGCTTCTAAAGCGGAAGAAAAAAAAAAAAAAGAGAAAAGAATAGAAGTGACAAAAAAAAACCCACAACGGAACGCGGTGTCATTATGAGTATTAAAACAATGCTCAAGAAAAGACGAGAAGCAAATGCAACATGAAACCGAGGTTTCTCTCGAAAAAAAGAAAGTAAATAAACGCAAATCATCAATTGTCATCATCATCATCATCATCCGAAAAAACAATCTACCCCTTTAATGATGTCGCACGGGACTCGTTGCCCTCGACCGGCGGCCATTGGTCGTCGGCCCCAGTGCCAACGGTGCGAGACGATCTCGACCCTCCGTCCGCACCGCTAACCCATGACGATCCATGTTACCTAGCGCACTGATGGTAGTAGTAGCATCGAGGCCCGGGGGACTACCGAGAGAGATGCCCATGCCGCTAGTTGTGCCGGGGTCGTTGTGATTGTTGTTATGGTGGTGGTGGTGGTGATACATGCTATTAGTCGATTTCGTCCGGACGAGGATGTTGTTTGTATTATTATCGTCGTTGTAGGTGTTTGTGAACGTTGGGGTGAAGGGGGTGTTGGGGATTATTGGAGGGATGGACATGGACATGGACATGGTCTCATCGTCTGTAGGAGAGGAGCTAGGGCTAGGCTCGAAATCGCGCGCGCCGGCTTCGAGAAGGTCGTCGTAGGAGGCGGAGAAGGAATTGGTGCGTTTTAGGGACGGGGACGAGAAGATGCGGGGAAGCGTATTGAAGATCTTTGACGAGAAGCCGTTGCCTCGTCGGTAGTAATTGTTATTCTGATGATGATAGGAACCGTGACTTGTTCGCCGGATATACTTTCGGTAGAGTCGCGTTCGGCGCTCGCGGCCGCAGAGGAAAAAGATTGCTATAACAACTATTATTAGGAAGAGGAAAAGACCTGGGACCCGCCGCGGAGAATGGCCAGTAAAAAGCGTGTCGTGCCAATGCGGTGATGCGACACTAGACGCATGCGGCTGGGAGGCAGTCTCATTGTGAGTTGGGGATGGTGACGGCGGACTAGGCAGAAGGTATGGAGCTCCCGGTCGCTGGAAATCGTCTGGGATGCGATTCTTGCTTCCAGCTGGGGGGTTGCTTCCGAAGCCCACAGGGAGGCCGTTGGGAAGTGGTGGCACCTGTGACGAAGCGTATAGCACGGCTTTCCCGAGCGTCCAGCTCACTTCAGTCGAGTCGATCTTGTTTACAGCCTGGAAGGCGTCTAGGTAGCCCTTTACGTTCGACTCCACTGTACTATTGTGTCCTCCTGATTCAATGTCAACGCGGGGAATGCCGATCCCATCATGTAAAATACTTATTAGCCATGAAGCTTTGAAACAAACCGCAAAGGCGGTTTCCTGATCGACCTTTTTCCCCCACTGCTTGCTCTTAACGCCTTGCTCAATAGCCTCCCACGGCTGTGAGCAGAATTCTTGGACGCGCTGGAGGTACGTGGTGAAGTCGTACGATTTATCCTTATGGCCCATTTCGAAAATCTCATGTGTCGTATGCCAGTATTCACTTACGCCGATGAAATGGTTGACGTCGAAATCAATTGCGGGTACGTGGACGCCATGTAGAAGACACGGCTCATCGGGGCAGGGGGCATCCTTCTCCAGCAACGGGTATGTATTACGATAGCACTCTTCGAATTTACCCGTTCCAACAAGATACGGCTCCATGCCGGACACGGGACCGGTGGGAGGTAGAATGGTTCCGTCATGGGTCGTTCGGAGGCCGGAATGCAAACAAGGATCCGGTCGAGCTCTGTTCTTGTCATTGGCAGTTGATTCCAACAGCGCCTTCACATATCGACTCCTAGCTTCACGTGCACCAAAGCCTAACCACGACGTGACAAACACCTTGTATTCCATAGGCAAGCCGTTGAGGGTCCGCAGGCGCAGTAGCGTTAGGTCGTTCGCATGCTTCTCCGCCTCCGTCGCATTTGGGGCAAACGCGATCTGCGCCGAGGCTCCACCCATATCCAAAAACCCGTACGTATGATGGCCCTTTCCATGATTGTGAGACTGGCGATCGTTAAAGCCACCCATTAAATAGTTTGTTGCAATCCACCCATAAAGCCCCTCTGTGTCGCCTTCGATAACTTGTACATGTTGCCTACAATCGGGGATCAGGAAATCGGTACTACTGCGGATATAGGCGCATACATTATCGAGAATGGCTCTTTGCTTCTGGCTTGGAA